CTTTCAGAGAGCGGGGAAAACCTGTGATGACACAGTACCCCCAGCCTTTGCAGGGCACTCACAGCTGGCAACGTTCTTGCATTTCACTGTCCCCCACCCCCCTTGGCAGCGAGCTCCCTAGGTGATATCATCCAGCCTCATGGCATTGAGCAGCACCCATACACTGACAGCCCCCAAATTTACATCTCTGGCTCCAGACTCTCCCTGAGCTCCAGACTCCTATATCCGACGGTCTGGCCCACTCAGATGTATCTCCACTCAGATGTCTGTTCAGTGTCTCTCCAGAGCATCTCAGATGTAACATGTCAAAACCTTAAATCTTGACTCCCAGTCCCCCACCAAACCTGCCCGTCATCCTCCCCATCTCCGTAAATAGCAGCTCAGTCCTTTCTTGTGTTCAGGCTCCAAACTTGGTCAATTCTTAGTGCTCTCTTTCTCATCCACCACCACTCCGTTTAATCTGCAGATCCTAACGGTTTTACCTTCAAATCGGACTCCATCTTTCCTCCTGGACCCAGGCACCATTGCCATCACTTGGACCACTGTCCAGACTCTTCTGCCACAACCAGGGAGTATTGGAAAAGGAAAAATCTAAAAACTGAGCCCTAGGTTGGTGGAGGGAAAAATGGCTTCTGTATCTAGAAATCTTGTCAAGGGAAGCATGATCTTCAGAGTCGTCACCTGTGGCATCACAGGGCCAAGTGCACTGGGAGAGAGGAGATGGATTTTCCTGCAAATAGAAATGTGTAAGGACACTGCCATTTCTCTGCCAAGAGCTACCCTAGATTAGCTACCTGAAACTCAGCTCTGCCTGCACCTGGAACTGTGCCCAGGGTGACTGGGAAAAACTGGTTGTCCTCTGTGATGTCACTGCAGAAGCGTGCAGGCCTGCTTGCTTTCCAGAGAGAAGAAAGAGGCCCCAAGAGAGACAAGTCACATGCCCAGGGACCCGCCAGGGGAGGAGATAGGATTCAAAAGCAGGGCTTCTGGATCTAAGCCCAGGGCACTGGCCACACTGATCCCTCTGGGAGCTTGAGTACATTTCACCTCCCAGAGTCCTCTCTCTTCGCTTCTCTCTACATGTAAACACCACGTCCCCCATCAGCCCCCTGACGGTCGGCTTCTCGGGGCTGCTCCCTCTGCCCCTGTGCCACAACTGGACTCCATGTCTGTAGGTAATCTCTAGGCCTTGCCAGAGACAGTCATTCCAGAGCTATTCTCTGCCCATCCCCGGGCCCTTCATCCCCTGGATGATACTTGTCTCCCCTAGGAATGGGGGTAAATGTGAGGATTGGGGAAGGGGTGTTTCAAGAAAAACAGCGAGAATAAAATTTTATCAATGTAAAAGCCAAGGTGGGCCCCTTTTAAGATGGATGGCAGCCTTATTAAGAGTTTTTGTCTATTTTTGAAAGTTCAGGTTTTTGATTCAATGAAATTTAAAGGATTGCTCATGAAATAGTTTAATTTTTTTCAAAAATCTCATTTCTTCGAGATAAAAAGCGACCTCCAACATTTTAAAGTATTGACAGTGATCCCAACAGTTTAAGTACTGTCCTTACCATACATGTGGCTATTGTGCGTGCAGCATGTCACTGACACTTCCTAAACAATGGGAGTCATGGCACCGTGGCACTCTCCTGTGTTCCCCTCACAATGGGGCAGGGTGATCAATTATACCTGCACGAAACCAGTGCACTGGCGTATCTACCAAGCGTAAAATCCAATTATCTAAAACAACATGACTCTCAAATTCTCAGACACTATGTAATTTATAACTGGATTTGTATATTCAGAAACCTGTGGAGTGTTCTTTGAATTCTTTTCAAATATAAATTATATTGAGTATTAACTAAAAACACTGAACTAAATAGCTTAACCACAAGAAGGGCTGAAGTTTGGCGTATGATTCAATGAATGTTTACCCATCATTTCAGTCTCAATTTTGGCTCAGTCCTAGCACATCCACCCATTTCTCTCACAGTAGAATTTATTTTTAAGTGCACAAGAGTGAGAGGCCAGCTATACACCATTGTCTTGTTACGACGGCCACAGGGACGGCCAGCTGACAAAAGGTGCGTGAGAGGGGAAAGGTGCACACGGTATTTTCCCCTTGTTCAGCAGCAGCTTTGACTTAGAACGCAAAAACATATTATAAAAACAGAACGAGGGTCTGTTTCTAGGTTTGATTGAGTCACCAAGGACTGCACTTCTGCTGCAGAAGCCATTGCAGGAGGGAGGTACCAAAGGGACGCTAATACTAAAACATAGGTGATCAGAGGCACCGAAGGCACTGGTTACGTGAGGCATCATCAAAAGACAGCCCTGGGTAAATATCGCACGTTTCTGGTCAGCTGCTAAGACTTGCATTTTTCCAACCGAAAAGCAATCCTGCAGGACTTTTTACTTATCACTTGTTTGGAGAAAGGCTGTCTTAGGTCCCTTCATTGAACATGAAGCCTAGATTCCCAAGTTAGTTTTCCTGTATCACCACAAGACGTACTACACTCTGTTAACACTGTTTGACACTGACCTGTTGTAATTGACGGTGTCGCTATTCTCTTGGGTATCCCGCAAAGAACAAACCCATTAGAGGGAAACAGCTCATTGTGAAACAGTGGATTGTTCCACAAAGATGTGAAGAAGGACTCTTGCATCTTGGCATCTATTAACCACTTCCAGGCATCCATACAGACAGGAACCTCCATGGGAAGCATTCTCCAGTGTCCTGCGCAGGTTGCAAATGATGAATGTATTTAGAAAGTCTTTCACAACTTTCTTCCTGCTCCAGCCATGGCCTTGATCCTGTTCCCATCTCAGTCCTGGGCAGCTCCTTGGCCCCCTGCCCACCTCCCATGAAGCTCAAACTCCTACCAAAGATCTTTAATATAGCCCAACTTATCCATTTTTTTTTATGGTTAGTACCTGTGTATCTATTTAAGAAACCCAAGGTCATGAAGATATACTGCAGTGTTTTCCTCTTGAAGCTTAATGTTTTGCCTTTCATATTTAGATCTATGTCTAGAGGATATTCTTAAGATTTTAAGGTTTAAAATCTTGAGTCTTGAAGTAATAGAGGTTCCAAGGGGTGAACTGCTCAGAGGGTACTGCCTGCAAGAAGCAGGGCCAGGATTTGAACCCAGGACTATGTGTCTTACTTAGCTAGAGCCTAGGACAAGATGCGCTGGCAGGGGAGCTCTAGGCTTTCCCCCAAGGAAGGTGGCTGAGGAGTCATCCCTTCTCCCAAAGGACCATAGGCCACTCACATCAGGATACAGAATACTGGTGAATAAAGGGCCTGATACTGGGGCTGGTTTGGCTCCTAAGACGGCCCAGGGCTGCAAAGCAATCTTGGGGGGCAAACATCCCATAATGTTCTTAGGAATTCATGTTCCATGAACCACCTGCTGAGAAACTCTTCCAAAGCTCTGTGGTTCAATGTGATGTTGACATGCAATTAAGATCACTGGATTTATCATGGCCAAGAGGTCTCTGGCTTTGCCTAGTCTATTAGTTTTTCTCATCCTACTTACTGAAGTGACATATTAATAGATTTCCTGGTCTTAAACCATTCTTGCATTCCTAGAATAAGCCCTCTCTACATATGGGATACTATTTTTTTTTCATTTAAAGGTTTTTTTTTGTTTTGTTTTGTTTTGTTTTGTTTTTTTGAGAGAGAGAGAGAGAGAGAGAGAGAGAGAGAGAGAATCCCAAGCAGGCTCAGCACTGTGAGTGCAGAGCCTGACGTGGGGCTCGATCTCACAAACCATGAGATTATGACCTGAGCCAAAATCAAGAGTCAGATGCTTAACTGATTCAGCCACCCAGGCGCCCCTGGGATATTATTTTCCACATGCTGCTGCCCTCGTGCTGGTTTCCCAGATGCCCTTGTAAATTCTGGGAGGTGAGGGAACCTCTGTGGAGCAGGGGACAAAGTCCCATCACCTGTAACGTTTTCCAGGATCAGAACCCACAAAAGCAAAAGGCCAAAGCAAAACTTGAGGAAGATGATACTGTGGCCCAAGTACACAGCCCTAGCCTGGCCCAGCTATGGTGGGAAAGCTGAGGATAATTTGCAGCATTCATAAATTTAACATTTTATCTATCAATTATTCATTGAACTTCCTGGAAAGTCCATGTTGTAGTAAATGGTCGTTTTTCCAAGCTATGATTTTGAGTCTTGTAATGCAAGCTGATGAGTGGGCCAAGCCAGCCCCCCAGCATCTGCTTCTCAACACAGTTCCACGATTTCCTACTCATCGAGCATGACAGTGACTCACCTGGTGTTATATAACCCTGTGTTCTTTGTGGAAAATAGCCTAAGAGCCAACTCTAGGTGTGGACAAAAGAGGAAGGAAAATGAGGAGATCAGGGCCAGTGATGATTCTAGCAAGAAAATGAGAGTTTGGTGTGGGTTCAAGTGGAAAGCCTAATTCTTTCATGGCTTTGGTTCTGTAACATAGGCCAGTTCACCATTTCCTCTGCAGAAATAGGGAAAAGTGGTTTGTGATGCTGTTACAGTGAGTTTGCCAGCCATTAAATAATCCATCAAACCAGAGATAAAACCTTAGTGAATGATGACAAGGCAGTAAACTTGCAGAATTTAGATATGTAGAAGTACATGTGAGTTAATTTTGGTGAGTTTATTTAAGTGGCATCTTAATATCTTACATGGTCTCTTAATAGTGGAATAAATCACTTTAATCTTATATTTATGGAACCATGAAAGGCCTGTGGGTAGTCACTTATATTTTCCAGTTATTTTTTAATGCAGTGGTTGAAAATCTTCTAGGCAGTGGAGCACTCTCCTATTACCCCTGATATGTAAATCAGATGGAAGCAGGGCTCTTCCGTGTGGAGGGAGAGCAGTGAGCTTCATCCTGTACCAGCCTTTCCCCCTCAGCACCGGGGCACCTGTGTGGGACCTCTTGCCTTCCACAGTTTGAGAGGTTCATTTTCATCTGACTCATATCATGTCTCCACTGTCTAGAACATGTCCAGGCATGGACTATGCACTTAGTATTGGTGAGTGGATGGATGGATGGATGGATGGATGGATGGATGATCAAGTGAATGGTGAGTGGATGCCTAGGTAGGTAAATACATAGGAGGATGGATGATTGGTTGGCTGAGTGAATTTATAGAGGATTGATGGTAGATGACTTTATATTCCAATCTTTCTATCTACTATAATCTGCCCCACTTGTAATGCCACAAATGGCCAAATAAAAGGTTTCAGGACCCTGACATGACATTAGCTGACTTCTTATAGAGACGTATCCTCATTATAAGAAGAATCCTGTACACCAAGTAGCCTTTTCCTCACCCCCATAATCCCAACATTCAGCTGCCATCAAGATGACATCCTACAGCCTTGCCCCAGGAGCACCTCCTCCTTTCCTGAGCTCTGTTGGCACCTCACCCCTCTGTGCATCTTCCTCTCTCCTCTGATGTTGTCCTGCTGGTTTGTCCCCCAAGACCCAGCACCCCTGCATGGATGTCCCTGACCAGTCCCCGGCACTCTGACATCTCTCCATCACAGTTGCCTGGCAACCAGAGGATAGGGATCAGGAAGTGGGCTGAGAGGCCACCCTAAAAAGCAGAGAAGGAGACCCAGAAATGCCTAAGCAAGTGGGCCTCCCTTGCCGTGTCTCCTGCCCCAGCCCCTCTCCACATCCCTGCTGGGAGGCTGGGACCAGCCAAAGGCGAACAGAGAGAAGATAGTGCCTGAATCCTCTTCTCCATTTTCTGTGCAGTGACCGCACGGCCTCACCCTGGTGGTGTTAGCAGTATAGGAAGAAGTACACTGCCAAGGCCAGACTTGCCAGGGAAGTAGACCTGTGACAAATGTCTTCAGACTTTTCTGTGACAGGAGTCATCAGTCAGATTTGAGTCTGTGGCCCCCCTTTCTCTTCTAGCCAGCCTCTCAGAGGGGGCGGGCAGGACTCTAGGTCCAAAGATGTTAGCTTAGCACCTCCAGTGTCTCAGTGCCCTTTCTTTGTCACTGCTCCTTAGGTGGCTTCAGTCTGCAAAGACCGCCTCCCTGTACAGTCCCCAGACAGAGAGACTGTAGAGCTGCCTGTACACTACACTCAGCAAGGACTTGATAATGATCATCAGCCTCATTTTCCCTACCCTGCATGTTCCCCAGACTGAAGCCAGCCCTGACCCCATTCCCCTGACACAGGACTGGATCTTTCTGCCCCTCCTCATACCCTCTGTGCTCACCTGGCTGCCACCACCCTCCCCACCCCTCTCAGACCCGTTCACCTGCCCTGGAGGGAGGACCGTTTGAGAATAAGTGTCTCTTTGGACAGCTGGCAAGTAAGTCCAGAGAGGGCAGAGGCATGCCAAAGGTCACATAGCAAGCGAGTGATAGAACCAGGAACAGAATCCAGTTCTTCCACCTCTACCCCTACCACGTCCTGCTCTCTTCCCCTGCTCTGTGCCACTGTTTGATGAATTATTAGACACGCCTGGGTTCAAATCCCAGATCTTCCATAAAACTAGGGCAAATCTTCAGCTCACCAAGACCCAGTGTCCTCCTCTATAAATGAGGGGAACAAAGGCATCTGCACAGAGGAGAAGCAAGCCCTAGACTCAGCTCCACATCCAGGCCTGGGTCATGTAGAACCTTCTGACTCAGTTGTGGTTCCCAGTCCCAGCCCTGGACCAGAAGTCTGGAGGCAGAGGCTTCTGCCTGGCACAGCAGTGGCCATTGGACCCAGGCACCACCCCAGCCCCAGAGAGGGCTTTGGGACCCCATCTACAGACAGGGGGAAGCATCAGGCCTGTCTCTGAGGCCTGCTCTGGGCACATCAACTCGGAGAGGCAAAGGAACTCTCTGCAGTGGCCTTATGCCCATCAAGTGAGATCAACTGAGCCCTGCTCCATGCTCAGCTCTGCACAGTATGGGGCCGCGGGCCTCAGCCTCCTCCACCCCAGCTCTGTGCTCACGTGGACCCTGACTACAGCCTCCTCACTGGTCTCCCACTTCCCACCCTGCCCCCCTTCTGCAGCCAGAGGGCTCTCCTAAAACACTCTGAACATGCTCCTTCATCCATGTCTCTTCTTTGCCCTTCGGATAAAGGATAACTCTTGATTCGACATTCAAGATCCCTCATGGTCTGGCCAATGTCAGCCCCTCTAACCTCAGCCTCTACCTCTCTCATGATTCCTCAAATGCACCGAGCCCTCCTTGGGGGCCCCACAGTTCTTCTATGGTGGAATTTGCCAGACTGACTTACCATTGATCTGGAGCCCACCCCAGACCCAGACTCCTCAGTTAAGCCCTGATTTACTCCCCTATATGATAGCACCTCCTCCATTCCAACAATCTTCCAGTGCTTGTAAACAGCTGTAGATCCCGTGTCTGGGCTGGACAATTGGGTGAGTGATGGGAAGAAGGAAGGGCCAGTGGGTGAGTGAGAATGACTGAGAGCAGCTCACGTGGTCCACCCCCACACACTCAAGCACACAGAGCAAGCCAACTCTGACTTCCCTCCATGCCATTCAAATGGCTCCTGGGCTCCCTTTCTGTGCTGGCCTTGCCCAAAGCACTGGAGAAACCTGGTGACAAGACAGATAGGACTCACGTCCTGCCCTCCAGGGGCCCTCAGCCTACCAGGAACCAGAGCGAGTATGAGTGGAGGCTTGGGAATTGCATTGAACAGGCTGGATCTAAGTTCTGGCTCCACTTTGACTAGATCTGTGCCTCAGCTTCCCCATCTATAAACTGGGGGGAAAGACAACACCTACCTCTCAGGTTGCTGTGATGGTAAATGAGATAATGGTGCTTATAAAGGGTGTAGAGCCTGACCAGTCCTGATAGATCCTCAGTGAGAGCTACCATATCATTCACATTGTTCCTTGGTGGGGAAATTGCCCCAGGGCCCCTCATCACAGTCCCAAGCACACCTCTGGAACAGATGCAGAGATGGAAGATATACAGAATAGGGGGTCCCTCCCCCAGCCCTCGATTGTTTGCTCCTCTTCCTGAATACCTGCTTGCTGTGATCTGTCTCTTCCCAACATGCACTGGCTCCCTTCTCTGGAATCCCGGTGTCTTATCAGCAATGTTCAGCTGTTGATATGCCTTCACGCTGGATAAGCCATAGGTCATAGCCTGCTTTGACTATAATAAAGTGATCCAGAAGCAGCAAAGCATCATTTTAGGGATAGGAACATTTTCATTTATCAAGATCAAAAAAAAAAAAAAAAAAGAAGAAGAAGAAAAGAAAAGAAACGAGCTCTCAGAGCCTAGTACCTGATAATCACAGAATAGCACCTTGGCTAAGAGCATGGGGCTTAGGCTGCCCACTGCCCCAGGTCCCTCTGTGGGCTATGTGACTTTGGGCAAGTTACTTAACTTGCCTGGGGCTCAGTTTCTGCACCTATTAAATTGGGGATCCCATCACAGTCCATCATGAGAATTGAGGTAATCTAGTGTGTGACACCTACCGAGCATGGTGGGGGACACACAGTAAATGTTCCAGAGACAGTACCTACTCCTGCTGGTATGTCGAGCGGGGTGGGGGGAGGCAGCCTCTCAGGGAAGAGATGGTATTTTGAGGTACAATTTCCTTTTGATCATGGGCACTTGTAGAAGGAGCTTGGGAAGAAAGTTCAAGATAGAGGCAAAGCTTGCTTTATCCTCTGTCCTTGTGCAGCTGGTGTGCGGTGGCAGAGAGGCAGAGGGGTGGGGCACAGGGGCTGTCAGAGAGGTCATATATATCTTGTTGATAAAATGGACGCTGTGTTTAGAAATTGGAAGACTTTCCCTCATAATTTAAAGCAGCACCTACCTCTGCTGGTCGCGGTGACTGGAAGATTAATTTCTCAACTGGCCATGCAGGCAGGCACCTGTGCCAACTGGCTCCATCTGCAGGCACGGGTGATGCCATCTCTGTGCCCAACTGGTAATGAGACAGGCACTGCCGGGGGGGGGGGGGTTTGAGGCTCTCATCTGATGCCAAGGCTGTGGAGGGAGGAGCATCCTCAAGGTGACCCTGAGGGGCCAGCACCTTGCTGCATGCTGAGGAGGACAGGCACGTGTGCACACATCCAACACTAGGGGTTCACGCTGGGCACCTGCAGCCTTGATGGGCCAGCTCTCTGGTGCCATGTCTGCCTTGAGTCATGGGTGACCAGTGTGTCCCAAGTCATGCACACACTGAACAGGACACACTGAACAGGACAGTGTGTGGACCCCATACACTTCTACCTTCTCCAAGGAGAGCTGATACTGTGGATACTCCTAAGTCCTGCTCTTGGCTTCGGATGTGAGAGGCCACATGGTGAGGAGGAAGAGGGTGACATTGGTTGGACAGCTGGCTGGCCTGTACTTTAATGGAGAGAATATGGTAGCAGGTGGCCACTGGCTTAGCTCTAGTCCAAGCCAAAGCCCTAGCCCCCAGCTCAGGAGTGGTAGCATGGGGCACGGAGGTCACACTAGATGAGTGGGGCCAAAAGCTCCATTTCATGCCCAGGTATAATCACTGTGTGGAGTGCTGTGTTGAAAAAGATGCTGAGGCTGCCTCCTGGACCAAACAGGAAACAGAGCCACCGTCAGTAGCTTCTGCCACTGGCCCAGCTTGAGGGAAGAGTGGTGGGCTTGTTCCATGTCCACAGCCAAAGACTGATTCCTCCTAAACTGAGGTCACACTGGATGACTGAAGCAGATCTCTTTTGCCTGAGACACGGACAAGGCGGGGAGCCTCATTTTGCCACCTTTCATCTCTGGGTCTTGAAGAAAAATGGAAAACTTTAGCTTAGGGTAGCTAGCTGACAGCCAAGGGAATAAAAATAAGAAGCTGGAACTTCATCAAAACCTTAAGCCGTCACAACCAGTCAAGAGCAGACACAAAACCAAATTCTGTACCTTGTTGAAAGTGGGGTACTGAAGTCTCCAACTGTTACTGTTGCATCGTGGGTTTCTCCCTTCAGCCTTTGTTCCATGTATCTTAGGACTGTGTTCGTAGGTGCATAGATGTTTATAATTGCTATAGCTTTCTGATGGGTTGACCCTTTGTCATAAAATGTCCCTCTCATCTCTAATGGCATTTTTTGTTTTAGATTAAAGTCTATTTTTTTCTAATATTAGTATAGCCACTCTGGGAGGCCTCCTCTGATCTGATCTGATCTGATCTGACCCCCTGACACATCTGGGTCAGTTACCACTTGATCTCCCTAGAGTGCCCCGGGTAAGGTTTCACCCCGGAGCAGGAGGCCAGCGTTAGAGGCCAACAGAGTTGGTCCTCATACTTTGACCTTCTGTGCATTCCCCACCCCTTGCCAAGACCTTGGTAAGGTTATGCTGACCTTCCAACTTCATGTCTTGGTGGAGTGGAGTCCCTGTCTAGTACTGAGTCTTGGGTTCCAGCCTCAACTCTGCCACTCATTTGCTGTGTGGCTTGGGCAAGTTCATTGCCCTCTCTGAGCTTCTCTTTTGCTATCTGTGAGTTAGCTGCGCTCTCAGGACAGAGGCTGGAGAGGAGAGGAGGGGAGGTCAGCCGCCATTGGCAGAGGCTCCCGCAGGCCACAGGACACAGCGCTGCTCCCTTCCTCCCTGGCACGAGAACAGCTAGGACACAGTCCATGGGGCGGACCCCAGAACAGTCCTCCATTTATTTAGGGACAAATAACTCACAGGGCAGCATGTATGGAGGAGAAATTGTGGCAGGTTCTGTGCCTTAGTCCAGTGTCCTCTCTCTTTGTTCCCAGTAGCTCGCTACAACCGTACCAGCTATTTCTACCCCACGTTCTCAGAAAGTTCGGAGCACAGCCACCTGCTCGTGTCTCCTGTGCTGGTGGCAAGTGCAGTCATAGGTGTGGTCATCATCCTCTCCTGCATTACCATCATCGTTGGCAGCATCCGCAGGGACCGGCAGGCCCGGCTCCAGCGTCACCGCCACCGCCACCGCCGCCACCATCACCACCACCATCACCACCGCCGCCGCCGCCATCGAGAGTATGAGCAAGGCTACGGTGAGCTGCCGTCCACCCCGGGCCCAGCCTCCCATCCAGCTGTGACAACCCGTGGGGGAGGGGGCAGCCCTGTCATGGTGGGGGCGGGCAGGGTGGTTGGCAGGGCATCCAGGAGGTGGTCGGCAGGGCATCCAGGAGGTGGTCAGAAAGAGACCAGAGGCACTCACCAGAATGTTCTTGGGGGCCTGAGAAGTCCAGTAGTCTGCCAAGGGTGAGGCTGAAGGTCAAAGAGAGGATGTGGTGCTACTCCCCAGCCTTGGCCACTGTTGGTCCAGGCTTTACTGACAGCTGGTCCAGCTGGTGCCTGGATGGAGAGACAGATGGAGAGAGGGATGGGGGAGCAGGATGACAGGAAAGATCAGTAGGGGGTAAGGACATGGATAGGTGGGGGCACTGGGTGGGATGAGTGAGTGGATGGACCAGAAGCTGGATGGAAAGACGGATGCGTGGGTGGGATGGGGGATGGATGGCTAAATGGGAGGGTGAAAGGTGGATGAAGAGATGGATGGATGGTTGGATGGGGGGTGGACAGAGGTGTGGACTGGGTGGGATGTGCGAGTGCATGGATAGAGGCGATAGGTGTGGATAGACGGCAGATGGGTAGATAGGAAGGTAGAGGGATGGATAGTGGGGGGGTTGGATGGGTACATGAATAAGTGGATGGATGAATGATGGCATGAATTACGAGTGAATGAATCTATCCCCAGAGAACTGGCAAAATGCAAACAGAACTGGTCTGAGAGTTTCTCCATTAGGGGAATTACCCTTACACAGATTTGGTTGCAATTCTTTGGCTGACCCGTTCCAGAAGTGTTCATCTGGCCAGAAGGCCTGAACTTTTTACAGATTACAGCCACCTGACTCTGCCTTACACTTGGAAGGGGCCAGTTATCTAAAAGCCGCAGGAAGGAACTCAATCCATTCAATTCTCAGACCATTGTCAATGGCAGGAAAAAGCCTGCCCTGAGGCCTGATGGGACCTCTGCCGGACTTTGGGGGTGGTATATCCCCAGAGGCCACCATCACACTATACAGTAGGCAATCTGGAGGCTCCAGAGCCGTAGCAGGGCCCAAGAGCCTTCCCTCCTACAGGGCAGACAGAGCTTGAGAGAAAGAAAGAAAGGAAAAATTTAAAAACAGGTTAGATGGGATCTCATCAGTCTGGACCTTGGGAGGCCTGAAATCCACAGCCCCCTCCCAACACGCCCTGATTAGCCGGAAGCTTTGGGCCACTTCCTGTCCCTTTCCACACAGTTAACTGATTGAGGAAGGTGACACCTTTTAGGGATTAAGGATACCCACAGTTGGTGTGCTAAAGCAGGTAGGAACAGGGAGGTGGGCGCTCACTGCAGGTCTGGCCCTTCTCACGCAGAATCTCATTTAATCCTCACAGCAGTCCTGGAGGCAGCTGCTGTTTATTGCCTTCCCAACTCACAGATAAGGAAGTTGAGGTTGGGGTATTCAGGCTATTGTAACAAAAATACCATAAACTGAAAGGCTTGTAAACAAGAGAAATTTATTCCTCAGCTCTGGAGGCTGGGGACTCCCAAGATCAAAGCACCTGCAGATTTGGTATCTTGTGAGGGTCTGCCTCTGACTCATAGGGGAGCCTTCTCCCTGTGTCCTCACATGGTAGAAGGGACAAGCTAGCTCTCTGTGGTCTCAGGACACTGATCCCAACTATAAGGGGTCCACCCTCATGATGTAATCACCTCCCAAAGGCCCCACCCCCAATTAGTAGCACCTTGGAGGTTCAGATTTCAATATACAAATGGGTGAGGGGGTGGGAAGAAACATTCAGACCAAAGCAGGGTGGCTAAGTAACCTACCTAGGGTCACACAGCCAGGTGGACCCCAGATTTGACCCAGGTGGCCTGATCTGGATTCCTGCAGGATAATCACTGCACAGCACTGCCTTGGAGGGGCCGGTGCTCACGCCCCTGAGGGAGGTTGCTGGTGTGGGGGCAATGCCAGCAGGGGCCCTGCATGAGCTCAGGGCACTGTCTGGCAGACACACTCAAGACCTAGGGGCCCTTCAGACCTAGATGTTGCTCCTGCGGCAATGCCGTCAGGAGAAGTCAAAGAGCAGGAAGCTGGGCCTCCGGACAAGACACGGAGAGACATCACCGTGGCAGGGATGGCGCAATGGAAGAAAGATGCGGCAGGTCAATGGTTCACCCTCACTGCCCAACAATGGAGACTAAACAGAAAAGTCAGCATTAATAAAGCAGATGTCGAAAGCTCAGCCAGCCCAGTGTCCTCTAGAGTCCCCAGAAGCCAAGGACTCCCCAAGAAGCCAAGCCAGGAGCATTGCCCAGACCAGCCTGACCCTCAGGGAGGGCAGGACTCCTGCCCAGAGAATGCCCACCACTGGCAAGGAGCCCAGGTCCCACTCTCAGCCTCCCACTATGCTGCTGGTCAGGCCCAGGATGGCCACCCTGCCAGCCTCCCATGGCCCCACTCTTGCCGTCCCTTCCTCCAGCTTGTCCCCAAGCACTTCTTTTGTGCTCCTTCCCAACTCCACTCCTTTGCACATGCCCTTCCTAGGCCAAGAATGCCATTCCCTGTACTTCCCCCACTGACAAAAGCCTGCTTGTCCTTCCAGACACAATTCAAATGTCATTTCCTTTTGGGAGCTGCTCTGGCCCCCTCATCCCTTCCAGGCAGGGTTGAATCACCCTTCCCGGCACTTCCTTGACTTACCCACACTTCTCCCAATGCTCCTGTCATGGGATGACAGGGAAAGCAGGGCTGTGTTACATCAGGGAGAGCAGGGCCTGTGAGTAGCTCTCACCCAGCCTGGGCCCATAGCCCCACACAGGATCTGGCCCAGAGAACATGCTCCACAGGCAAGGGTAAGAACGACCTCATTTCCTCCTCACGGCAAGAGCTGTGTTAGCCCATTTTAAAGACTGGGCAACCAAAGCAGCTTGTTGAACAGCCTGAAAGCACCAGGCCTGGGCCTGGTACTTAGAGCATAGGAGAGGGGCCCACGGTAGATCCCAAGCTGAAGTTTGAGAGGTCAACCTTGGCCTCGAGGAGGCAAATGGCCCTGGGGGTCACAGGGCCAGTGCCACACAAGCAAGGCCCTGGCCCTGATCTCTGGAGTAGGTGGGTTGACGGCAGGTCAGAGCCAGGCCAAGTCTGGGGACAGGCCTCTGCTGCCGTGTGCTGACAGACAGCAGCCCAGCGTCCCTGTCACGATGGGTACCCATTTTTGGGGCTCCCGCCTCCCTGCCCCACTTCTCTTCTCAGCTCTTGCCTTGGCACCTCCCTGGGGCCCCAGTGGGGAGCCCAGAGGCACTGATGCCCCCCACGCCTTCCTCCGGCCTTCTGGAGGGAACAGAGGCAGCCAGGAGCCTTGGAAAAATGCCAGGGAGGAGAAGGAAGCCTGCTGTGGTGCGCAGCTGTGGGGAGAACAAAATAGCAGAGCACCCACAAGCATCCACCTGTTGGCACTGGGGGCCCCTCTGTCCTACAGACACCCCCTCCCCCTGGTGCTAGTGATCGAGGCTCTCCTGGTCTCACTCCTGCCACGCTGCCTGCTCCTTCTCAGACTTTTTTGTAGATTCCCATTCTCTGAGGAGAGAGCCCAACCCTTGGCCCTGGGCCCTCTAGAGAGGGCCCTCCCCGCTCCATCTCAGCCACCTGCCAGCTTCTAGCACCACCCATCAGCCTCGGCCAGGCCCCCCCGCCAGGTATCTCTCCTTGAGGGCTTATGGGCCCCTCAGACCCCAGATTCCAAAATGGCCTCCAACTTCCACATCCCACTGTACAACCTCGGGGAAGTTGTTCAACCACTCACTGTGCACCACAGGTGAGTCATCTATATGATGGGTGGGTACACAGGGATCCTGAACTGTGGACACTTCCATCCTCCGCTCAACACCCCTCAGTGGCTCCCCACTGCCCTCAGGACCAAGCTGGCCCTCCTCCGCCTATCCACAGGACCCTCCTGCAGTCTGGCCAGGCACAGAAAGAGGAGCCAATAAATGAGAATGAATGAATGAATGAATGAATGAATGAATGAATGAATGAAAGAAACCCTATTTCCATAAGATGGAAAGATCTTGCATTTTAGGAGACAGATCTGCTCTCCTCTTACTTGCTGGGGTTTGGAGAAAGTAGCCCCACCTCTCAGTTTCTACGTCTGAGAGCAGGAGATGGCCACCGTGCCCCCACGGTTGTGAGGGTGAGTGTGGTCATAAGGATAGCACACAGGAGGTGCCCATGGATGTAAATTCCTGCTCCCCACTCCCAGGCTTGTCAAGGGATGTGCACTGGGGTTTGGGCTAAATCATGAACCAAGGTGTTTCTTACTTTTGGTAGAGAAAGGGATAAGGGGTGTCACTTTCCATGAGGGGGTTAGGGGGGCTTCTGGAGGCCTGGACCATCTGAATCTGTGCTGACATGGAAGATGGGGAAGGAGAAATTACTAAGAAAGTAATTTGGGGAGTTCAAATGAGGGGTCAGGGGAGTCTTTCCAACTGTTCCTCAGGAGCTCTGTTGGGAGTGAGCTGGGTCATTTTGGGATTTGGGGTCTGAGCTAGGTGAGCGCCTCAGAGCAGTCCCAGTCTCCCTAAGTTGCTGAGCCCCCAGGATGCCCAAGAAAAGCAGCCAAGGAGAGAGGCGAACGAACGGCAGTGTGGCTTGGCCTTATCAGCTCTTAGGCCTACCTACCAGGGCCACTCCCACTTGGTTCCAGGGACCGGCCTCTGCCTTCCTAGGTTTGGACAGCCACAACCCCCTGCATGGTGGAGGGGGCCCTCCCCGGCACCGGAGCCCCAAGGCCTAGGCTCCACTTCAGTCTTCACCTTGTTTCATGCTTCCTTCTTTCCCGAGTTTCTTCCTCAAATTCTTCCAGAAATTCTCACCCTTCAGCTGCTGCCCTAAAGGGAAACAAATCTCATTTCAGCTCCTTTTTATAGCATGTGTTATTGGGTACCTTTTCCCTAGTACAAAAGTAATATGTGTTCACCATGGAAAATTTTAAAATACATAAAATCTAAAGAAGAAAATAAGGGTCACAATCTTGTCATCAAGACAGAGCCACTGTTAATGTGTTTGGAATATTCTCTTCTGAGAGCTTTCTCGATGTCAGTAGATAACCTTGGGATTACATCTGCAGATAGAGTTTCACGTCCAGATTTTTCTACTCAACATGGTATCACGAGTGGGAAAAAGAAATTAGGGAAGAAAGAGCAGTCTTTATGGTTATACAGACTGCGCGGGAATTCCAGCTCCATGACCCTGAGCCTCAGCTTTTTAGTCTGTCTGTAGAATGGGGACGGACAGTGCTGCTGATCCAAAAGAAAGGTCATGAGCCCCACCCCGGACAGATAAGCCCCGCCCCTGGTGTTGAGTCCTGCTCTCTGAGGGGAGGAGCCATCTGAGAGCCCACTGTGGGCAGGGGACTTCATGCCTCAGTCGTCTTTGCAGCTCCCACTGTCCCATAGCCCCTGCTAGAACTGTCAGAAACGGGGCGATGGAGAGCTGAGAGTGAGGAGACAGCATATCCAGCTGCCCTCTGGCCCTACCAATAATTTGCTTTGTGGCCTCTGGCAAGTCACTGAGCCTCTCTGAACCACACTGGTAGAATGAGAAGATTGTGCTCTATCAGCACTTCCTAAGCAGTGTTACTAGATCTAAGAAAAGAAGATTCTGTCGTCAGATGTTGCATAAGCACAGTCAAATGTGTTTCTCAGCTGCAGGACTTCTCAGAGCCTTTGATGTGCTGATATATGTGATGTGTACACACACACGCACGCACGCACAGAAGAGAATGCAGTATATGGAGTCATTAGAAATCACAGAAGCACCTTTTCTCTTGGATAATTACAGTGAATGATGTGTGCAGGGAGTAGGGAGGCCTGACCCCAGAGACCTCTGTAGCCCTCACTCCCTAACTCTCCAGTTTCATGCCCAGCCTTTCTCCATAGTTCAAAGCTTCTGTTTCACACCACACTCTTCTTTCTAATCTCCTTCCTTGGCTCAAGCTGGTCTGTTCCCTCTGCCTTGCTTGTCCCCCTTCTCTTGGCTAATTCCTAGATAAGACTCAGCTTTAGGAGCCCCTCCTCCAGGAAGCCCTCCCCAACCTCCAGGCTGGGTCGGCCCATCTCTGCCACAGGACTGGTACTGCACCTATCAAATCTCATGACACACTGCTCAGTACGGAGCTGTCCCCAGGCCAGGCTGCTTACCACCCTGGGAGCCCCACTTTCTCTCTGAGACCCCAAGCCCAGTGCAGCATCAGTGCTCACATTCTGGGGCTATCTCTGAGAGGATGGTAGGCAGCTGTGCTTGGTGAGGGACCAGGCAGTGAGCTGGAGAAAACAGAGTCTCAGTGGCCTCAGGTAGACACGTAAGGACCTCCCTGGCCCCGGCCTAAAGCCCAGGCTGACTGTCTGTCCTCTGCAGTGTCTGATGGGACCTACAGCCGCTCGAGCCACAGGATTCGCTACAGCTGCAGCCCTGTCGAAGACTGGTCCCCGCCCTTAGATCTCAGCTCTGATGGGGACGTGGATGTCACAGTGCTTCGAGACCTGTACCCAGATTCTCCCCCAGGGTAAGCAGGCCACTTGAAGGAGGAGGCCATGAGAGGGAGGGCCATTGGGTGTGAATCCCAGCCACCAAGGGAAATAGCAACACTTCCCCCAAATGGTGTAAATGCAGAAAATATCTTCTCAGTGGGTGTGGCCATCTCCTGACCAAGCAGGTCCCAGTGGGGCAGATAGACTCAACAGATGTCACCACAAGACACTAGAGAAGGAAGAGAAAAGTTCAGCTCCTTCAGACTGGGGTCGAGAGTAGAGGGTCCAGGCCCCAGCTCCTTACTATGCACCCAAAGCCCAAATCACACCCACTGGGTCAGGGGTCATTATGTCTAAACTGCACCTGTGGCCATGAGGTGGGACTGTCCCATTGGGGGATTCTTCTCGGGGGGG